GCACTCGATCCCCTCGTCCAGATCGTTGCCTCGTCCATCTCTTTGCCTTCAGTGGCAAAGTTTCACTTGCTGATCCCCTTGTTTTCCTCTCCAGACAGTTCTTGAACATGTATGTAAATGTACTCTTACACTTGCTACATTGAAAAAAGCACAGAAAGCGATTGCCATTTTTTAACATATTTGTTTAATCTACAGAAAAAAAAAAAGGAAAACCGACTTTTCTAAGCATATCAATGACGTACTTCTGAAACAATGTAATGATTGAGGTCATTTTCATTTTAAAAAGCAGAAAAACTCAAATTTAACAGGCTTGAAATTGCACTTTAAGAAGTTTTAATTTAAATATTTCAAAGCGAGTCTGTTCTTCAGATTAAGGGAAGGTGAAGCTTATATTAAAAAAAGCTACAGTAGAACAAAATACTGAATTCTATTCTCATCTTATTCTCATTTAACACTTTGCTTTTTAGATATGCAGTTTAGCATTCCACATCAGGTTGTCTTTATTTTCTTTAAGCCACGATTATGTCAAATTAATTCCTCTTTTCTGTGTGTCACGCAGTGTTAATAACATTACCAGGCTCGCAATATCTCAAGAGCTGTTTAGTCACAAAAATGAATGCTCCAGAAAGTGAACTTTAAGAAAAATTGGACCATTCTGTTTATAAAGCCCATGTAGATGGCTCTCAAGATGTATAGTATGGATGAAGTCAGTGTAATACCTGTATCTTTGTTTTTCAAGGCTAGAAATCCTAAGTCATTCCATCTTTGTGAGTGTTTCAGCTTAGTACCTTCCTTAGAGATTTAATATGTAATTGGATCAATCCCAATAATTGCAAAGTTTGCCTAAGCAAAAAGGGTGAGGTTAGAAACTGCCCCTCCTTTTTTTTTTTTCCCTCCTTACTGGTAAGCAGTTTCTGTTGCGGGGAATGGAGGTTAGCTTCAGCGAAGCTAAAGGAACTAGCATGAATGGCTGCTATCCATGTGGAATAAAGAGGGGTTGTAATCTTGTGTCAAAAGTGTCTAGTTCAAGGATTTATAAATACAGTGGCTGTTGTAGATTCTGAAGGGTCTTGAGACTCTTTGGTCTGCAACTGCATGTAAATACTTTTGCTGTAGTAGCTGGATAGCAGATACTTGTTAGACACTACAGTGGTATCATGGATACAAGATTCTTGATGCTGGGGCTTCTTTGATGTTGGGATGTGTGAAGGGTTTTGATTCTGCGGCCACGCACATTCCCTTCCGCAGCCCGTTTTCCTGCCATTTGTTTCCAATTTAGCACAATGTGCGCTTTCCCGTGTCCCCCGGAGCAGCTTTGTGGGAAAGGTATGCTGTAATTGGTTTATAACCATTCATAATGACCTGGCAACTCAGTATGAACAGCAACGGGGAGCAACTTACTTGTGATTTATTTAAGTAAGCTACATGGATGAAAGGTATTCCCAAGTGTACAAGTTAAGCTAGTTGCCTAATTGGACGTAAATTTTCACAGCTAGCTCGGAGAGAGGGTTTTGTTATGAAAGGCTGAATTTGGGTTTATGAGCAAGCTTCTGGACTGCTAAACCAGTTTGCGAGCAAAGTTTAATGTTGTCTTTTTTTGGGGGATGTCTTAGTTTTTGAATTCAGTAAGTGCTAGTATACTCTTGTCATTTGTAAAGCTAATGGAATATTAACTTAAGATTTTTATTTACAGTTAGAATATCTGACCTTGCTTTTGGTGCAGTTAACACACACTTTGATTTAAAAGCCAGGATCGGCACTGCTGCTTTGGTTGTAGTCTTTTACCAGTTTGTCGTCATTGTATTCCTACTTATTTTGTCAAGGCTCTGATTGCTTTTTCTCACACAACACCCATGATACGAGCCACCCACCAGCTGCAGGGCATGATGATTCGGCAAGCGGTACGACAGCCTTGGTAGTTGTAAGGCCATGGGTAGTAGCCCATGAGAGGCTCGCAAATTCTCTGGCACTGTGTGTAACTTCGTCTGCATTCAATGCAGCACACGCCTAGGTGATCCAGCATGGGGTCAAAAGCCATCCCTTCACCTTCCAGTTGCTGAAATGTAAAATATTAAATGTCATCCCGATGCCCTCATTCTCAAAGAACGTAGAATATACTGATGGTCATGTTAACCCTGCAAAGGGTAACAACTGAAATCTTGGTCCTGTTGAAGTTAACAGAACTCCCACTGACTGACCTGTGAATCTTGCGTTTTTTTTGAAAATTTTTTCTTATGTCTTGCTCTATTTGGTAGAAGTGTAGAATTGGTGCAATTATCCGTGTAAAATGGAAAGAAACAACAGGGAGCTCCAACTTCATTTTTCTTCTACAATCCTTGCAAAAGATCCAGCAGCAGTAAACTCCCAAGTTTTAAATATTAGTAATGGAAGAGATTTCAAGATGGTTATCCAGGTCTTTTATGTAGATTACAATGTCTGAAATGTATGCTGTGTTTTTAATGTTTTGGTTTAATTTTTGTACTTTAATGCTTTTTACAGGATTCCCAGGAAACTATTCAATAAGCTATTACCCTGGAGTTTTCTGAATATTTCCCCCTTGTCTTTCAGTCTGCTTTTTTTTCCCCTCTGCCACACTTAGGTGCATTAAGGACAGTGAGAATTCTGCTTGTTCTCTATCTGACAGTAAGGAGTTACATGGAGCAAGGCATGCATAAAATATGTAAAAGCGGGCTCTTGCTACTGCCTTCAGCCTTCAAAATTCCTTTTCCTCCTTTCTGGGAAAAAAGTAACTTGGATATTCTGCTTTTTGAAACTCATTTGTTCTTTTCCCATTGGTGTTATTTCAAGAAAAGCAGCAGCAAAGAGCAAATGCCGGAGTAACACTTAGCTTTTTACCTGAGCTTTTTTCATTCAGAAAACCAGCAGCACACCGAAAACGTGAGGCACAGAAAACGTGTCATCTCTTGTCTGGGCTTGTACAGGACGCTAGTGACAGCTCGGTGTCGTTCGGGCCCCCAGCGACCCATTCCCAGCCCTGAGAGCAGGGAGGGTGTCATTTCCTTGGGCAGGATTCATCACCCTTGAATTCAGATACCTGCAGTGTGAACTTCTACACCTGAGCTCATCGTCCAGACTCCCCTCATAGTGGGTGAAGAGAAATAGCTCTAGGGGAGGATTCACTTCATCCTAGAGGAAAGACCTACAGTATAATTAATGGTCCTTTTGAATCGAATGAATTGGTCTCTAAAAAAAGCTTGGATATAGGCATCTACGCAATAACAGTGAGTGAAGGTGAATCCCGCCCTGCAGGCTCAGGGAAGCCTGGCGACCGTATCTGACGGGACGTTCTCCATTTGGCCCAGGGGCTCTCTGCCTGGAAGAACGGACCTGTGGCAGTAGTTCTGCCGCTGTCCTCCGGAGACAGGGCAGCTCAGACCCCATGGATGTGGTCACGTTAGTAGCTGTGAGGAGAAGTTACATTCCAGCGCCGCTGCTGTTTTACTGACCTCGTGAGAGAGTCGATTTAGATCCACTTTATTTGGAGTGATTAAGTTTAATTAAGGGATGTCAACTCGGCAGAATGCTGTCACAGTATAATGATCTCCTGCTGTTGCATAAATGTCAAGTCAAAGCTGGGACTTATTTCCAAAGCAGGAGGCATTTATCTTGTGACACTGTTGTATTAAAATGACTTACTCCTGCTGTACCAAATGGTGGGTGTAAATTGTCTGGCGCTGGTGCAGTAGACTGGAAGGTGCCTACTGTACAGTCAGTCCTCCTGCGGCGCGGCAGAGGTGTTGGGACACAGCGGGGCGGCTCCTGTGCTCTTTCTGTGGGCTGCTTCGTCTCGAAGAGCGAGAACAAGTTTTGCGATGCTCATCCTCCACCCACTGTTCCTGTCTCTAAACAGGTTCTCCTCTTGTGACTTGCTTGCTAGACTAGGGCCATTTACTCTGATAGCAAAGAGGCTGAGAAAACAGACTTGGCCTAACCCTCATCTCTTTGCAAACAGACACTACTACTGCTTTCCTCTGTAGTAGTCACTCCTGATACTAATTTCTATTTGAGGGCAAAGTAGGTTTTTAGCTACTGGACTCTCTCTTTACATTGTCAGTAAATGATGGGGATCAGCTGTCTGATCAAGAGCAGCTTTGGTTTGTTTTCAGATGGTGCTATGCTTGTTGGATCTCTCTAGTGTTGCTTCCATATGGACCTGAACTCTGAAAAGCACCTTGGCATCAACTTGCCTTAATCGTGCCACCTCAAGCACTTGTGCTTGTTTCAGACTGAAGTCTAATGAAAACTGGGGGGAGGGAGGGAGAAGAGGACGAGGGAAGACTTTTTTGAACTTCTTAGGTGTTTTACAAGTCTGTAACTTTGGAGAAAAGCTAAACAGGCAAAGACTGCGCAAATTGAAGAAAAAAAAAAAAAGACAAACCCCACATCACCAGTATTACCTGTCTACACCAGTCTCGGGCTCTGAAAGAAGATTACAGTGCAAATACTTACATTATATGGGTTGTCCGGATTAAGTGTTTGATCAGTTTCTTGTCCCATTGGCCTGGTTTCATTAGATTGGCGATCAAGCTCTTGAGTCAGCTGTGCGGTGTGCAACCTGGTATTTACTTCTTCAGTAGCAGCTTCCAAGTCTTCCGTATCAAAGTTTGATTCTGATTGGCGTTTGTTTCTCTTCATTTCTCTCCTTTGGTTATCTGAAGAAATAATCATGGGAGGATAATCTTATCTTCAGTGTGTCCTTGTATTTATCCACACATTATCTAAGGTTTCAGTGATTTCTTTAAATATTAAAAAAGCGCGGGGAGGCAGATGGGAAGATGAAACTGTGTGGTGGCAGACTTGATGAGCATCCCCATGGGAGCTGCTTGCCTTCCTGTGTTGTATCTGCAGCCAGTATCAGTCCAAAGGGGTGTGAGATTGCCTTTTTCACGCCGCTTCCTCCCCTTGAAGCAAAACGGGTGTGAGGAGGTGCTTTTTGACCCACTGTGTCATCACTGATGTTAACTTGGCAGCAGTTGCAAGCACTAGCAAGACCAGTCATACACATCTAATTTTTTTTTAAAGTGCTTTTGTGACAGACTGGTGCCCTGCTCCCAAGGGCAGCTGGTGAACCTGGTGGAAACGGCTTCTGGACTGCTTTGATAATGCTTTTTTGTTGCCCAGTGGGATGCAAAAGCTCATGAGAAAAGTGGAAAATATTGGCAGTTTGGATCTGCAGGTGCTCTAAAATCTATTTTTTTTTTTCCTCTTTTAGTGCTGTAATATTAACTGGACCAAGGAGGAGTTAATCGTTTCAAGCCGCCTTCTCTCCTCCCAGGCCTGGAAGTTACGTGGAGAAGTTGCCATCTCCCTGCTGACTCCCAAACACGCTTGCTAAGCTTGGCTGTGGGTGACAGGAGTACTTCAGTTCTAGGACTGCCTCCAGGACCTCGTAAACTTCATCTACGAGTTGCCTAGCTAAAGTATCTTGTCCCTCCACTACAGTGAAATCCTCTGGAGGAGCAAGGTGGGAAAAAGGACAGGTTATGGTCCCAGATCAGGAGCTTGATATTCCCCAACTATTGGCGAGGTATGGTATTCCTGCTACCTGGTGTCAGCTACCTAAAAATTTTGGAGGCTAGTTTAAGCTATTGTCTTGTCCTACAAGGAGGCTGACCTCTCTGGCAATGCTTCATCTCATAATAAGTCACTTACGTTGGCTGTATAAATTGTCTGAGGAAATGCAGGTGTGGAAGACCAAATGTCTAGGTAAGTGTGGATGAACTCCAAACCCACAATCTCAGCACCAACCCACGAGGGCTTGGGAAGACAGGCTGGGCAAGGGAGGAAAGGATCCTGGTTTCCCCGATGTGCAAGTCTCGGTGGCAAACCTGACTTGGGGGAAGGTGTTTAGATGAAGGGAGGGATAACCTACTTTTCAAAACAAGAAGTGTTACCTTTGGGATACGTTGGTCGAAGCCAGAAAATTGGAAGATCCCCGCAAAGCTCTAAAATTTTGGGGCTTAGGAAACTGTTATGCTTGATAGGCTCATCTGCAGCCACCCAGATAAGGGAGTTTTCGTCAAATCTCACAGGCATGATTTCATCTTCCTGCAAATAGAAGAGCATAAATCCTTTGCTAGCTCAGTGAACAGTCATGTGCCTGCTTGCTATTAATTCTTGAGCATCAAACCGTATAATCATCTGCTGCAGCTAAATCCGAGCAGCCTTGTATTTCATGAACGTGAATCGATTGTACTGAGCCAAAGCCTGAGAAAAGGTTGCCACCGCTGAAATAAATGACACAACTTCTGTCAGCTTTCCTGGGGCTAAGATTTCACCCGTCTCTCTCTCGGAAGGCTTTTGCCCCATGTACAAGGCCTAGGTGTCGGAGATCTTTCAGCCCAAAGCGCCAGATTTTCAGGTAGTAGAAACTGTGAAGATTTACCACCTTCAGCAGAGCAGCAATGAAATACGCCAGCTAAAACAAGACCCTAATCTTTTATCGTGCCCCATTCTCATTTGATGTACTCCCAAGAGATAACTATATTTACAACAGGGGGAGAAAAAACCCTGTGCAAAAGTTTTAGAGAGGATTATAGCTTGAGAACTGCTCCAGCTTCCAGTTTTAAGTCAACGTGATCGGTCTGATTAAAGGTCCCGTTTGGTAAAAGCAATTCAATTGACCAAAAGTTTGAAGTGCGAGTTAAAGGAGCCTGCCTTTTTGAAGTGTACCCTGCAGGTTTTTGGTTCGTGTCTTCAAAGTAATGTAGTAAAATGCCAGTGATTGATTCTTTAAAGTTGTTAGTTCAAAGTATTATTTTACATAAAATGTGTAAGTATTTTGTAGCAACAGTGAAATATTAAAAGAAAACCAACTTGTGAATCATGAAAACCAGTATAATTTCAAAGTTAAAATTCTAAATTGCTTCCATAAAAGTCATCAAAACTTGTTGTATAACTGACTAGAACAATTTATTCCGTTGAGTTGCTGTTCCTTTAACGTGTTTATTGATTTCTTTTTTAGGTCTCAAGTCATTTAAGTTCACTATCCAATCTGTCTAGTGAGAAGTGCTCTTTGTTTATATTCTCCCACTTAAGCTTTTATCAGCATCAGAAAGATCTGAATCTATTTCTGAAAACAGAAATAAAAATATCCTTTGTTTCTGTTTGAGATGATTCTGACTTGTGAGCAGGCAGAGTTTGGGTATCTATAAAAGCTTATTTTAATCAACCATTTTTATAGGCACTGTTGGTTATGATATGTGTTGTAAGAAAATGGCATACGCATGCTTTCTCCTAAATACGTGCGTATCAGAGAGAGGACTCGCACTAGAAAAATAAATACTACTTTGCCATTCCCGTCGTACATCTAACCTGGAAAATTGAGCAACAGGGAAAGGTTAATATCCCAACGGTAGCACTAAATCAGCTGTTTTGGCCTCGGTGCCTACGATTTATTGCAGCGGTTGTGTAGGTGATGCATCTTCGGAGAAGATGCACAGAAAACAGGACAAGGAAAGAGGTTTGCTGTAGCCAGGTAGAAGATTAGAAATAACTTTTTGACTATTTTAGGATAATGTCTTCAGGGCTGTGACTTTATTCTTATAAAAAGATGAAAAATTGAAACCTTGACTTCAGGCAATAGTGCTAATGAAGCCAAGAAGCCCAGCCTGCCTTTAAAATAAGGCAAGGTGGGAAAGATCTAGGTCTCTGCCTGGAATTTGGGCAAGATCTCTTCCCCATCACAGGGAAAATCCCACCAACCTCAGGGGCCTTTGTAACATCGCTGGTGCCTTGCTGACTGGATTTAGAGACCTTTTTTCCCTTCATTTTAAAGTAGATGTTCAGTAATCACAGCAGCGTTGCAGGTAGGTGCAGCCTTATCGGTGCCTCTCTCCCAGCTAATTGTATCTCCTTTTATTTTCTCGGGAGCGGAGCAAACCGAGGGAACGGGGTTGTGGATCTCCTGTGCTCTCCTACCGGTGGCTGAGCCCCCGCCAGCATCCAGGCTCGGCCGTACTCAAGTCACCGGAGCCACTCCTGTGTGAGCGATGGGTTTGGGGGTCTGAGCTCTGGGAAACTTGGGCTTTGTGCACCTAAAGCAATAGGCTTTTTTACAACTGTGAGGTAAGGAGAGGTTTTGGTGGTATCTGGGTGAGAACTGCCGCTTTTGTAGCGGTTGCGATGCAGATTCCATGAAATTTAGTTAACACGATGTCCTACAATGAAGTTTAATGCTGTCTAAGAAGGCAAATTCTTAGTTTTTTTAACTATTATTTCTTCTGAGTTAGCTGAATTTTTGCAATAATGTTTTTCACAATTCCCCTTTATTGACTATTTCAGAGGACTTGAGTGATGGACTCCCTGCTTCTGCTCAAGAGTGTTGATGGAACACTCCTGGAATCTACCACGATCCCTCTTTGCACTGACTAAAGCAGCTCCTTCTTCCCTGCTCTCCCTTCCAGCCTCGTGCACAGCCTAATCGCAGGCAGATATGCTTGTCATTGAGGTCTCCTATGGATCTGCTAGATCTACGGCTTCCCTCACTCCCCAGTCTGCAGGCTCCCACCATGCCCCTGGACGCCGCGTAATAAGTAATCTCTGACACCAATCTTGCTTTTCTTACCTTTCAGGGACCCCTTGCAATAGGTCCATGAACTCTCAACTCTCCACAGATGACTGCTCTCATTGCAGGGGGGTTGGACTAGATGACTTTAAAGGTCCCTTCCAACCCAAACCATTCTATGATTCTATCACTTCTTCAGTGGTTTTCGTATGTCATTTTTATTTGTATTTAAATACCCCTTTAAGTGCCTCTCCATACAAAGATTTGTTTTAAAAAAAAATAGGTAAATTACCCCTTACCAGCTCAGATGAGAGGCTTGCTTTAGTCATAGCATCAACTTTGGGGACGTGAGCTTTTGGCTGAGCTTTGATGTAACACTTTTCTCCTTCAGCAAAACGTATTCCAGTTACGCCCTGCAAAAGCAGAAGGCAGGGGGTTGTGCGGAGCCCTCCAGCTCCCCACCGCCCCCAAGAAAGCGCTCGAGCTCTGCTAAAATTGCCACTGAATTTTTAGTCTGAAGGTTGAATCTTATTTAAAAACAGATGTCATAAAACACTCTTTTCTCATCATTTTAGAGTTGCAGTTTTGGTCAAATGGGTCTAGAAATTTTTGCTCGATTTCTGAAAGATGGGGGTGTTTTATGTAAGTGCTTCCATGCCCGCTGTGGGCTACTTGAAGTAGCTCTGTAAGGAATTAGTTGACACGATTTGAACCGTAACTTAGCACCTAATGTAGGCAGCCTTGAAATTGTATTTGCTGGCGGTGCGGTACCCTTATGACACAGACCTACAAAATTAGGGGGCAGCTCGGTCCAATTTATACACGTAAGTGGCTGTGACATCAAGGGGAAGCTTGTGACAGGGAATTTGGTGCAGAAATCTGTGAGTGGGACTTCCTTCATCTGGCCTATGAGGGTGAATGCAATTGCTTAAACATGGATGTCTAGTTTTAAGCAAGAGAAGGGTATGCCAGCAGCTCCAGAGGGCTGCAGGTCTCCTGCAAGTCCAGGGTCGTATCTGCCAGCTGTGTGCCAGCGCCTTGGGCACCAACATTTGGGCAGGGGAAGCTTGTCTGTAGTTTCTGTTTCTGCTGTAGGTTTTTGGGTACCCATAAAAGAGCTCTCTTTTACATTATGAGTTTAGATACCTCATTGTAGATGGCAAAATGTCTGTTTTCCATAGGGTTGCACAAACTCCATTCAACCACCATTTGAGGTGTGCTGGTTTTCTGCCTAGCTTCTAGCTGCCAGGACAGGGGGGCATGAGTGTCATCATGACCCCTCTCACCTGCCTCGTATGGGCATCATAGATGCCTTAGGCATCTCGTGCAGCTTGAGATGGATGGTACTGAGGCACCTGAGTCTCATCCCATGTGCCTGCAAGTCCTGTACAGTTGGACAGACACCCATCAAAACAAAATGACTAATTCTAAACCAGTGAGAGAGAGGGGATGGTTATGCAGGGATGAGTGCACAAGGGAATGAGACTTTGTGGTGCACCGAGTGTGCTAGGAGCATCCTAATATTGCCAAATCCAAGTCTTCACTGACCATGCAATCGTTGGAGCGGAGCCAGTCAATCCAAAGCTGCTAATGTAAATACTTGGCTGTTGGAAGCACATCTCTTCAATTTCTTTCTCCTTATGTGCATTCTTGGCTAAAAACCCAACTGGCAGATACCTTTGCTCTCGCTGAGCCTGTCCCTGACCCGCTGTAATTAGGACCTGAGAGGTCCCTTTAGCTGGTTGGTGTTGGGAGCTGGTTTCTGACGCGGTTGCGACAGGCAGTAGCTTACCAGCAGCATGCATGGAGGCAATGTGAATTCAGCATCTCTCCAGTGGGCTGGTGCTTTTGTGCAGATGTGGAATGGTGAAGGCAAATGAGAAGAGCTTGCTGTGGGTGCTCTTATTCACCTGCTAATAATGTTGCTATGGTGATGTTAAGTTTGAACCGCAGCTGTTGGGAAAGTCAGGGTCCTGGGTGTCCTGGCGTGGATTTATTTGTACTTGCTGAGAAGCCAAGGAGCTGAATTTCCTCACCTTTCCTCACCTCAGCAAGGGGAAGATGGCTGCTCCAGAAGCCCTGGGCAAGTCTTCCTGGCAGCAGCACCTTTATTTTAGATGCTGCTTTGACTTACAGAGGACTTAGCTCTGAAGTTGAGTGTTTTACACCTGAGAACATTAATTGCAGGATCTGGGCCCTGTAAATAGGTTTCTGCAACATCACATAGATGTGCCTTTAGTCCTCACCTCAGCAAGGGGAAGATGGCTGCTCCAGAAGCCCTGGGCAAGTCTTCCTGGCAGCAGCACCTTTATTTTAGATGCTGCTTTGACTTACAGAGGACTTAGCTCTGAAGTTGAGTGTTTTACACCTGAGAACATTAATTGCAGGATCTGGGCCCTGTAAATAGGTTTCTGCAACATCACATAGATGTGCCTTTAGTAGCTCAGAGGTGGTACATGTAAGTGAACATCTCTATCCGAGCTGTTGAGCTCTGCTGAGATTCGGCATCTGTTAGTCCAGGCTCTGTGCGGAGCAGCCACAGCCAAGTTGCTGGGGTACCCAAATGTGTTTGCTGTCAGCCCAAGCGGCCCAGCACTGTGCGTTTGGTGCACGGGTGCATAAGCTATGCTAAATGCCTCCATCCTCTCCCCTGGGGACGAACCCAGGCCAAGCCGTGGAGAGCAGCTCCCATCCTTGATCTCAGGGCAGAGCAAGCTGTCCGGGTCCAGCGCTGTATAGTGGTCTTTCTTTTGTGTCTACTTTGCTTAATGTGTTGACCCTATGCTCCTAAACCGGTGATGTTTTGGGGAGGGGGAGGTAGTTTTTCCAGTTCAAATCACATGAAATCATGCAGGGGCTGTGTCACAGCCTGCAAGAACATTCTTCTAGCAAGAACGGCAAGTGCACATGTTGTAGCTCTGTTCAATGGTTTGAAAATGCAAAGTGTTACGTGGAGCCAAATCTGATGCAGCCTAATCCGAACTGCTTCCCGGAGTGGGACCTGGCATGACCTGTCCCCAAAAGGCACTTAGACTTTGTTTTGGAGGAAACTGCCCGGCTCGCTGTGAAAGCAAGCTGGGAGAGCATGGATGCTTGTGTGGATAGTGGGAGGCTGGAACCTGAGACCACTGGGGCAGAGAAGTTGGGGCAGGGCAGGGTATCCTTAGAGTCCAGCGCTGGAGCATGTTACATGAAAGACAAGGGTGGAGGTACTTACAATCTGAAAATCATGAACTTCAACAGCCTCTTCACTTCCGCTTCCTGTTTTGAATGTCTCTAGGTTGTTTCCAGCATCTATTTCCATCGATCCGTCTTGCACTTTTCCATTAATGCTCATAGTATAGTGAACATTGTACACCTGGAACCGATAAAAGAGCCATAGCACACATCAGTAATTGCTTATTGCCTTCCTCCTACACCAGGTGATGGGTCAATCTGACTGTTGCATCCCTATTCAGCTCCAAACTTTTATTTCTGTAGGCATTTGACAACCCTTCAACAACCAACACCACCCTACTGCAACACTTCACCATTGGGACAGGCCGGCAGTGAAGCAGGTTGCCCAGAGGGGTTGAGCAGGCTCCATCCTTGAAGATTTTCAAGGCCCAACTGGATAAAGCCCTGAGCAACCTGCTCTGAGCAGCAGGTAGGACTAGGGACCTCCTGAGGTGCCTCCTCCGGGACCTCAGGGGCTGCACATAGATCTATTAGTACTGACAGTTTTACGTCAAAAGCAGTGTGGGATGAGTCTGCATCCAGGCTCGCTCAGACTTAAAAACCTTCTTCTAGGTCATATCTTAGGAATCGCTTCTTATGCTGGCATGATTCCCAAAGGAGAGCAGGAGCGAACATCCTACTCCATAGGAGGCCAACCCCTATTTATCTCCTGGGATGTTCTGCTGAGGCACAGGGAAGCGAGTTCCTCTTGAATATGAACATGTTTTTCAGCTTGTAATGGATGTGAACTTTGTTTAAATTGGATGTGAAGTTGTATAGACTCGTATTTTCCTTGTCAGCATATTTGCTCTTATCCTATTTTCAATGAGGAAAGCTGCAGCCTGGTTTCTATTTGCTGGAGGACCACAATCTGTGGAGGGGGGTTTCGGTGCTCTTGTGCACTTCTGCTAAAAGTGCTGCACAAGCAGTTTACTTTTGGTCTTAAAAAAGCCTTACAGCATTTTAATGAAAAATTTACACTGACAGCTAGAGACAAATTTCTTCTCACCTTCGCTCAGGAAAGTCTGTGGTGCTAAAGATTTATGGTTCCTCAGTTATACAGATTCAGTCCCATATTCTCCACTGTCTAGGACTCCTGTTGGACATGGTCCAGGAAACCAGACCAAAGTACATGGTCTTCCCTGCTAGTGGCTGAGTTAGAGTTGAGTTCTCCCTGTCAGTTATGGGAGAATTTAAAGATTTAAAATAAAAATAATAATGAAAAAATTGTCTTCATTTTTTTTATGAATGACCTTAAATATAATTTTTACAGTTGCTTCCTAAACATTTGGAAGTGAAATGTAGCTTTCTGAGTTTGAAGGCAGCTTGGAAAAACAACTCTAAGCTTTCCCAGTGTCTTCACCTGGAGATGAACTTCAAAGCTTAATGACAACTATGAATGTGACATATTTTTGCAAAGCAGAATTTAGATGATGGGAGCAATAAAAAAAGGGAAGCTTTGTCCTGTACTCTGCAAATGTACCCACCCGCTCAGAGCTGCACGCGCCGTACCCCCTCCCTGCCTGCCTACCCATTCGCGTCCCTCTCCCTTCTCAAAAGCCGAGAGAAGCAGATGGCTCTTACAGCGCGTCCTGGAGGTCAGCAACGTCCCCTGTCTTTTTGGCGTAAAACCTTGTACTTTCTTTCTGATTATCTGAATTATCCCTATGTGCGCGGGTGTATCTCTGCTCTGGCTGCTGGGATTCGCACAAGGCTCTCCTTTACGGGGACTGGCGCGTGGCTGGAGGCAGTACAAAACTTCTTCCAAAGTAAACTCAAAGATACTAACTGCACGTTCAAATGCGCACCATCATGTTTCAAAATATGTTTTAAACCAAAATCTTATGTAAACAGAAAGAAAAGTTAATATATAAACATGTTCTAATGCTCTGAAGTTTGGTTCTTAAACTGATCAGCAGCTTCTCAGTTTTGTTCTTTGCATACAGGATCTTTCATGTACCTCAGAAAATGTAAATAATAAAACTTACATGACTTTAAAAACTGTTCCACAGCTGCTAACCATAAATGCCTATGTGTATGCACAACCATACAAACCACCAGACTGAAATAATGGTGCCTATTAATGGGTTAAATATAGCATTACATATTTGAGGGTCCAGGTAGAAGCTGGACCAAGAATGTGCATGATGTGGAAAAGCAATTTACACGTTTCAATGCTTTTTTTGTCCTGGGAGCTGGAGTTTGCCCAGGATGTGAATCCCCAGGGACTTGTTGGGGTTTGAGTTTGCTGAGGATTTGCGAGCAGAAATCAATGTAGCATCTGTGCTCTCAAAGATACGTTTCATGTTCATTAAGAAATGTCCTTCCAGGAGTCTCCATCCAAACAGCCAGTAAAGATGATGATTATGGGTTTGTTTTTTAGTTGTTGGTGTTTTTTTTTTTTGAAAGCATGGAAAAAAATAAAGATCTGCTTAAAGACCTCTTTATCGACCTCGCAAGAAGAGTTTCCAGCCCGTGCCTCTCCTTACGTGCAACCAGCTCAAACTAAAACCCTGCTCGGTGCGAGGATGTGCTTCCCGGCTCACCTGCCGCTCGGTGGCTTTCCAGAAGTAGAAGGCGCCGATAGCCCCGGCCAGGAGCAGGAGGGCTCCGGCGATCAGTACCGCGGCCCCCGCCTTCAA